GGGTCATATGGAAGGTCAATTTTTAGAGCTTTTAGGAATCACCACACTGCTTTCCACAGAGGTTGCACTAGTTTACACTCCCACCAACAGTGTAGAAGTGTTCCCTTTTCACCACACCCTCTCCAGCAGCTGTTATTTTTTGAGTTGATGATAATTGCCATTCTGACTGGAGTTCAATCTACAATTTCAATGCAATACCCATTAAATTACCAACAACATTCTTCTCAGACCTAGAAAAAACAACACAGGAATTCATATGGAGACACAAACGTCCAAGAATAGCCAGAACAATCCTAAGAGCTCTTTAATGTGGAGGTGTGCAGGACTGCTTATGGGAGGATTTCCAGAGCTTCGTCCTGGAAGTTTCATTTCTGGACTTGGGTTCCCAGGGCCCTACCTCCAGGCCCAGCAGCCTCGTGTGCCCTAGGAGGATTCAGGCAATTCCCACACTGTTTCCGGAAGGGTGTGACTGACAGAGCCTCCTGGCTCCCCTGTGGTTGTGTAAACCACTCCCCACTCGCCCCCACACACCAGATTTGTCACATGCCCTCCAAAACACAAAACAACAACATCCGTGGTGGAAGTGGAGTGAGGCTCAGAGCAGGTGCAGAGGAAGTGTTTTGGGGCCAGGCCTGCCCTGCCTCATCCCTATCTGGGTCTCCACTCACCGTGGGCAGCTGCGGTTGTGATGTCCTCCAGCCCCCAAATAGGCCAAGAGGTCAGAGGGCAGTCTCAGGCCTCAGCTTCAGCTCAGATCAGTCCCACCCTTCCTTACTTAGCAGGCTCTTCCCAATGCCCTATAGCTGTCACACAGCTGGCGCTGCCATTAGCTGGGCTGGAGCTTGGGCGTGCCTGGAGAGACAGACTGGGAGAGAGAATATGAAGGAATGAATGTGATGTGCATGTGACGGGATCAGAGTGTGTGAATGTGAATATATGTGTGAATGTGTGAATGTATGAGTGTGTGGTTTGTGGTGTGTGTTGTATAACTGTGATGTGTGAGTATGTGAAGTGCACGTGGTGTGTGACTGAGCATGAGGTGTGGTGTCTGAGTGTGGTGTATGATGTGTGTGTGGTATGTTATGCATGGCTATGAGTGTGTCGGTGTGTGCTGTGTGCTGTGTTAGTGCGTGTGCTATACAGTGTAGGATGTGTGTGTGATATGAGACATGTGATGTATGAATATGTAATGCGTGATTATGAATGTGTGAGTGTGCCCGATGTGTTGCATATAAGTATAAATGTGTGGTGTGACTATTGTGTGAGTTTCCGCTTTGTGTTGTGTGATGCATACAATGTGGTATGTGGTGTGAGTGTGTGTGCTGTGTGATACATAAATGTGTAGTGTGGTGTGTATGTGAATGTGTGGTGTGTGACTGTTGTAAGTGAGCCTTGTGTGTTACGTGATGCTTACAAAATGATAATGTGGTGTGTGAGGGTGTGTGGGCTGTGTGTTGTGTGATGCATAAATGTGTAGTGTGTTATGTGTGAGTATGTGAGTATGTGGTGTGTGGCTATCAATGTGTGAGTATGTGCTGTGTATCATGTGATGCATACATGTGTGGTGTGTGTGCTATGTGATGCATGAATGTGTTTGGATGTGTGTGGTGTGAGTTGCAGTGTGTAGTGTGTATGTGAATGTTTGGAGGATGAACTTGTGGAGGGTGTAGTATGTGAGCATGTGAACATGCAGAGGGGTGGCTATGAGTATGTGAGTGTGAAGTGTGAGAGTGTGAAAGTGTGACTGTGAGTATGAATGTGCTCTGCATGTAGTGTGTGAGTGGGGAGTGTGTGTGCATGTCTGTGAAGACTGGGGGTGGGCTGCGCTGAGGCTGGGGTTGCCAGGCAATGCCGAAGCTTACATCATGTGAGGCCCAAAGGAAACCCTTAAAAACATCCTATTCACACCTGTCATCCCAGCATGTTGGGGGATGGAGGTGAGAGGATTACCTGAGCCCATGGGTTTGCGACTAGCCTGGGTAACATGGTGAGACCTCGTTTCTACAAAAATCAGAAAGTTAACTGGGCATGGAGGTGCATGCCTGTCATTCCAGCTACTTGAACTTGAACCCAGCAGGTTGAGGCTGCAGTGACTGTGACAACCTGTCTGGCCTGATAATTAGTCTTAGGCTAAAAAAGAGAATACCAGCAAACTATGAGGAAGTCTGGAGCTGAGAAAACATGTTGTGTTGGTGAGAATGAGACTGACTCAACAAACAAAGAAACATAAAACACCACATTGGGTTGTTTAGAGCAAGGATTAGGGTCTGAGGACTTCCAGGCAGGAGGTGAATGTTTGGAGTTTGAGGGGCTCAGAGCTCTCAGACCTGAGCCTGTCCAGTCTCTACCTTCAGATGTTTCTCCAGGGTCATGGGGATTGGGGTCCAAGGGAAGACTGACCCCTGACAAAAAGTGAAATTTACCCTCCTCATTCTCTTCTCTCTTTTTCTCCTATCTAAACTTGATTTCTCCTTTTTGACTCACAGGGCTGCCATTGTGCCCTAGTGCTCCTGCTCCCAGGAGAGATCGTCTGTGAGACTGGAGGATACCAGGGGACAGAGGACCCAATGGTCAAACACCCTCTGGGGGCCAGAAGGGATGCACCTGATGGAAAACACTCAGAGCCCGATGACAGGTAGGCAGAGGGAATAAATAACACCAGGTACACCAGAAAGCCTCCTAAGTTTTGTGGGTGTATTCATTCACTCTCCTTGATGACCTCTTAACATAGGCTCTGTCATGCTCCCTGTGTTTCAGACGGGCTATTAAATGCATTTCTCACAGGGCTGTTGTGAGGATCGCATGAGGTAAGCACTACTAGCGACTCAACACACAGCCTGGGATATTGTCAGAGTGCTGTGCAGGCCAGCTATCATCACTGGGGTGGGGGTTGTTGTTGTGGGCTCTGCTTGGTTTTTGCATTTCTCTACTTGGATCTTCACGTGTCCAGGTCTGAACAGTCATCTTCTGGGCCTTTCTAAACTGAGGGTAAGCCGGGCTCGGTGGCTCAGCCTGTAATCCCATGCTTTGGGCGGCTGAGGTGAGTAGATTGTCTGAGCCCACGGGTTCGAGACCCGCCTGGACAACTTGGCGAGACCTCGTCTCTACAATAAATAAAAAATTAGCCAGACGTGGTAGCACGCGCCTGTAATTCCAGCTACTTGGAAGGCTGAGGCGGAAGGATCGCCGGAGCCCAGCAGGTCGAGGCTGCGGTGGCCGGGAGCGGCCACTGCACTCCAGTCTGGGCGACAGAGTGAGACTCCAACTCAAAAAAATAAAAATAAAAACAAAAATAAAAATAAACTGAGAGTGATCCTCCCATCCTCAGGTGGTCCTCCTCACGACCCAATGCTGCTCTCGCAACCAGGAGCATTTCCTTGCCTGTTGCACTCAATGGGAAGCATCCCCACCCACCCTCACCAGAGGCACCTGGCTCAGGCATCTGCAGTTCCTTCTTTCCAGGATTGTTCTGCCAGTTTCAGAACGATTCATTCCACAGAAACAGGGCCTTAAGACCATTGACCTTTACAACCAGCCTACTTAGAACTTTCTTCTACAAGAAATGGTAGAATTTTGGTGACTAAGATTACTTTCCTGAATATAGCCATATTCCTACTGGTGTTTTAAGGTTAAAATCTCCAATGAGGGGAATTTGGGATCTGTTTTAATGTAATTTATTTGCAAAAATCTGGATTTGGGAATATCTATATCCCCATATTTAGAATAAAGATTTTTGACTCTAAGAAGAATGATTGACTACCCTTAAGAAGAAAAATCAGCCAGACAAGATGGCTCAAACCTGTAATCCCAGTACTTTAGGAGGTAGAGGTGAAGAATTGTCTGAGTCCAGGCGTTCGAAACCAGCCTTGGCAACTTGGTGAGACCTCGTCTCTACAGTCAATCAAAATACTAGTTGGGCAAGGTGGCGCATGCCTGTAGTTCCAGCTACTTGGAAGGCTGAGGCGGAAGGATTACCTGAGTCCAGCAGGTCGAGGCTGCGGTGGCTGCGAATGTGCCACTGCACTCTAGCCTGGGCAACAAAGTGAGACTCTGATTCAAAAAAAAAAAAAACTCAGCCTTTGGAGAGAAGTTCTAGAACTCCCGGGCTCCTGTGCCTGGATCATCTCTCCACTCCTGCTGGGGGTCATTGGTCTCATTCTTATACTTTCCCTCTTGCTGTGCCTGCTGTCCACTTACATACCTAGTCATTCTGAGATTATCTCTTAATTATTTTTATTGCATAGACTCCCTAGTAGAGCTAATTCTTTTATGAAAGGTGGGAGGTGGAAATGGGGTGGAAAATTCCACTTTTTTGTCCGCCTGAGGGATCAGTTTTTTATTTTTTTATTTTGAGTTGGAATCTCACTCTGTCACCTAGACTAGAGTGCAGTGGCTGCTCTACCATGCCCGGCTGATTTTTTGATTTATTGTAGAGATGAGGTCTCGCCAAGTTGCCCAGGTGGGTCTCGAACCCACGGGCTCAGGCAATCCACTCATCTTAGCCTCCCAAAGTGCAGGATTACAGGCTGAGCCACCGAGCCCGGCTTGGGGGATCAGTTTCATAGTCAGCGCCTCTCTCTGCTATTTAATATTCTTAGGAGAGGCTTCTGTCTTGAGTCTTGGAAGTCTGAACAAATCAGGGATTTTTTTTAAGCTTTATAAAACAAAATCAATTGCTGCAAACAAATTCCTAACTACTGTTGGGCCTTAGTAATGCATTGTCATATCATTGTATAATGGACTTTTTTTTCCCTATAATTGAGTTCTCACTCTGTTGCCCAAGCTGGCAACCACGTGACAGTGCAGTGGCATGGTCATGGCTTACTGCAGCCTCAGCTGCTTGGACTCAGGCTAGTCTCCTGGGTAGCTAGGAATACAGGCATGCACTGCCATACCTGGTTAATATTTTGATTTTTTGTAGAGACAGGGTCTTGCTATGTTGCCGAGGCTGGTCTCAAACTCCTGGGCTCCAGCAATCCTCCCACCTTGGCCTCCCAAAATGTTGGGATTACAGGCATGAGCCACCACATCTGGCCATAGTGGACTTTTAAAAAGAAAAAAAAATCAAGATAATTCAAGAACTTGGAGATTTTCTAGTCATCAAATATTTCAGTAGTTCCCTGAATGCTTGGTGGCCACCAATCATTGCTAACTGGTATATTAGCAATTAACTATAATTGATTGGTACTCCCCTGCACTGGGCTGAATAATCACCCTCCCCTCCAATTCATGTCCACCTGGAAGCTGTGGAGCTGCTTCCTTCTTTAAAAGCGTTTCTCGATCCAACGTGCTACATAAGGGCAGATGGACTTTGGGCTGTATGTAACTATACTTACTATCACCTATTGGCAATATCAATCAGGAATACTATAAGATCACCTGTGACTTTAGTGGCATTTCTTGGCCTTTGATTCTAGGGACTGGGGTAGACTTCATGAGCTCAGGATTGGCTTGGTGGTTATTGGTATTCATACAGAAGTTGTGTCTTAATCCTGTACTATAGGCATGGTCCTTTGGTGGGTCAGAGAGCAGCTTTCTGGGGCGTAGGGAGACTGGGAGTAAAACAGCGGTAGGTTTTGACACAACTTATAATTTTAGCTCTCCAGGAAAGATTTCCTGTCATTCCAGAAGATGCTAGCTATACATCCTCATCATAGAGAAGAGAAAAGTAAATATTCCTGATGACCACCTTTCCTGCCAAGGGAGGAGCCCAAGGGTCTGGCCCAGGTCAGGGCTGGGAATTGGGATTGAGAACTGCAGTTGGTGGAGCTGGAGGGGAGTCCAAAGAAGGACTGATGTCTGAGTCCTGGGCAAAGACAGGCTTGGAAAGCACACAGCATCCAAGGTGTTATGTTCAAGGCCCAGGTAGAAGCAAAGTTCTAGAACTTCTCTCCAAAGGCTGATTTTTTTTTTTTTTTATCAGGCGGGATGGCAGACTGAAGAGAACTCTCTTGCAGAGAGAGACCAGCACACACAGAGGCCCTGGGGAAGAGTCTAGGGATGAGATAGGGAGCCATGTGCCAATGGAGAGTGTGGACATTCCTTCTAGAATAGGCCATGGTTTAGCGCCAGAACCTAGGAACGATCTGAAAGACAAGGGGGTCCTTTATCTAATCACTGTCCTCCACAAGAGACACTTGGAATGAACTATTCTAAATCCTAAGTTATAATTTGTCTAGCTTCTAGTGGATAATCTTGTAGAAAGAGTTTACTCATTTGGTTACCACAGTTTTGATTAGCAGCCTTGTGATCTTGGAGGGTACCCCAGGAACATATGGGATCAAGGTTAAGTATTCCATGGATGCTTTTTTTATGCATAAGAGAAGCACTGGTTATAGTGGCTTTCAGTTTATTTCACTGTAGTCTAAATTATGCTCTATAGCATCTTACTGTAGGGTCTTGACCATTGGAGTAGACACAAAACTATTCTTCTATTGAAATAATCTTGGTTCTGCCTTTGGACACTCCCCTACCTCCTCAGCCCAGCCCTGTTGTGGAGGAGCCATGTGGTTTAGACACATGTCCTGAGGTGCCTAAAAGTGGGACCAGAGCAACATGCTCTGATAGGTCTCTGGGAACCAGAAGGTGCGGGGGACAGATGCAGTCTGAGCCTCCTTGGTAGCAATCACGGTCTTTAATTATTCATTAAGTCACATTTCTGATTTGTCAGCAGGTTTCAGTTTGTAGGTGCTGGTTGAAGTAGAGAACTCAGAGATAAAAAGACCTTAAACAAGCTCTTTGGAGAGCAGCCTCTTCCTGGCACTGTCAAACACCTTCGTTTCTTCCCTTCTACTAGGAGCTCTTCAAATATGAGGGGTTATGGGGATTCTTTTATCTTAAGTCCATGTGAGTGACAGAAAGGGGAAGGGTCATCTTCTCTGAGGCAGGGCCTGGGAAACGCGTCTCCCTTTGTTTACATTTTTCTCTTCTCCCTCCTTTTCCTCCTCCTCCTCTTTCTAAAACTGCCTCCAGTGTGGGCCAGGGCCTCCTGAAGGGAGATCCCTGGCCAGGAGAACAGAAGACACCAATCTAATTTATCTCCCTGGGTTCCCTTGAGGAAACACTTCACTCCTCCAGACCTCAATTTTCTCACCTGTGAAATGGTAAGAATGTGCATTTATAATTATTTGGGCGTATGCCCATCTACATGACCCCTAAGGACTTAGAAATCCAGATATTTTATGATGTCTCCCAATAGGGGCAGCGGTGAGACTTTCAGGTCTCTGTGAGTAGGAGCTATGACTTGATTCAGTGATGTTTTCAGAAAGGCTGTGAGCTGGTTTTGCGGCCTGTCCCAGCATCTAGCTGGGTGCTTGGATTCTAGTACATATTCAAATACATATTTTTTTCTTTCTTCTTCTTTTTTCTTTTTCTTTTCTTTCTTTCTTTCTTTCTTTTTTTTTTTTTTTTTGAGTTGGGATCTTACTCTGTTGCCCAGGCTGGAGTGTAATGGTACGATCATGGTTCACTGCAGCCTTGACTCCCTGGGTTCAGGCCGATGCTTTTACTTCAGCCTCCTGAGTAGCTGGGACTATAGGCACATGCCACCATGCCTGATCATCACACACATCTTTTGACTGAGGGAAAGAAGGAAAGAAGAAGGGAGGGAGAAAGGGAGGGCGGGAGGGATGGAGTGAAGGTAATAATCCTATTGACAATGCATAGGAGTGCAGAGGGGCTCTAAATGTGTCTCCTTTCTGAATCAGTCCCCCTTCCATCCAGTCCCTCTTCCTCCAGAGAGCCCCTTCAAGGACCTTAAGTCTCTGCACCTGAGGTTCTTTCAGCAGAAACAAGCTCCAGGGGGGCCTCCTCAGGCCACGCCATTCCCCTCAAATCCCCCCTCCTCCTGCAGGAACAGTTAGGCCAGGCTTCATTGTCACTGAGGAGAGGACCAGCACGTCTCTGAGAACAGGTAGGAAAAGCCTAGGTGGGTATGAGCGTAGGCAGTGGGTCCCACAGAGCTGAGGGCCCCAGGATCAGCGTTATTTTGAAGGTGATTGTCGTAGTGGAGGGAGTGGGTGGCGGCACTGCCTAGGCATCCCTGGGGCCATTCTGGGCTTCAGCAGCAGCCACATTCCTGGACTGGAGCAGGAAGGCTGTGTAGGCCATATCGGCTTCCTCCTTGGATGACTAAGGGGAAACAGGAGAGGCATCAGCACTGGAAGTATCTGCTCAATTGAGGGCGTCGGGAGGGAAGACATGCACTCTATCTTGGCACAAGCAACACAAACCTGTATGGCCCACTGTCCTCATCCCAGCCCCCATGCTCACCAAGAGGGATGCATTTTGAGAAATGGAAAGTTGCCGCCTCTAAAAATACCTCCCTGTGTCTCACTACCTCCTTCTGACATGTGGAGTGGAACCACCTCTGCTGCCTGGGTCTGTCCCCGGAAGCTGTACCCACACAGTCCATGAGCAAGGTGGCCTAGGCTGAGGCCAACCATGGTGGTTGATGTCTTTCTTTCCTCACCAGCCCAGAAAGGGAGCTTTTCAGCACCTCAAAGCTAGAGGGGAAGGGTATCTCCAGGACTAACCCGTTCTCCTGGTTGTTCTAAATGCCGAACCTCTGCTGTTCCAAGGGAAAGTGAATATGATAAAAAGACACGAACACCTCGGCATTAGAGGGCACAGAGGTGTTAGCCTTCTTGTGGTCTCTGAGGCTCAGGAAGGTTGAAGGCTCAGTAGTTGCCTCTGGTGGGATTTCAAGTAAAGTAACACCTGGTTGAAGTGGGCAGGGTTGAGTATCAAATTGCCCATCATGAACAACTGTCTTCCAGGTCCAGGCTAAAGGCTGGTCCTGAGCAAACTTTCAAGGGAGGATGGTTGACATTAGGCCCATAGTGCTTCCAGCCTAGGAAGAGCACCCACTTAATCACTAGCATGTGACATTGGATGTTCCCACCTGTAACAGCATCTTTCGTGCACCTGCCTTTCTCATCTCCTAGTCTCCCTGCCTCCTGTAGGTTGATAGCCTGTAAATGCAGCTCACCTCCTTCGTCAGCATCACCTGCATTAACACCCCACAGCCAGTAAGAGACATCTTACCCTCCAAAACATCTCCTGAGTACTGTTTATACCATCTTTCCTATTGGACATCAGCCCCCACTTTGGGGTAGTTCTGACTATAGTCCCTCATGCTGCATTTCCTTGTCACACAGGGGGGCATCCTTCTCCCTCCTCACCCTTTTTGCCTTCTTGGGCTCTTCGGTTTTGGTGGTGTTCTCGGTGGTGGCAGTGAACTCTGTGTGAAGAGAGGAGTTGGATTAGTCCTCACTGGCCTCCTACTCCCTTCCCAGATGTGGAACTAGTTCTTGCTCTCCTGGGGGCTGAGCATTCCCTCGAGTGAGGGGCATACCAGTTTTTCCTTCGAGGGATGTCTCCTGAGTGACTGGAGAGGCTCCCATGTTGTCATTGGCTCCAAATTCTCTGGAGTTCCTGAAGTCTGACATGCTCATGTCCGTCCTATAGCTTCCAATTGAAACCCGGTCTGGAAAGAAAGGAGTTGGTGTAGGGGTCAGGGCCGGGCCCAGGAGGCCAGGCTGTGCTGTTCCTCATTGAAAGGGTCCAGTGCAGCCCCACAGTACAGCGGAGGCGGTGTGGGTCCCCAGCGGTTCACCTCTGACTGTGACCTAAGCAGATGGACATGATCTGGGTCTCCTTTTCATGGGTAATCAAGACTCAATAATCCCTGACCTTGGTCAGTTACTCTGTGACCTTTCAATACATAGCACCTCATCTGGACCTCACAGAATCCCTGTGAGGTAGTTATCATTCCTGTATTGAGTTAACTCAAGAAATGGGGACATGCCAATGTCACGCAACCAATTGTGTGATTAAACTAGGCCAAAACCCAGGTCTGCTGAATCCTGGCCTCCTCTTCCTGGCAGCATTGCTTCTGAACTTGGACCTTAGGCAACTGGAAATGGCTTTCCAGAGTCAGTATTTGGACAGCAGCACTTAATTTAAGTTTGGGGTAGGTGTAGGTTTACCTATCCCCCTTCCACTTTCTCAGAATCCTTTGTTTGGCTAATGAAAAAGCAGAGACCATGGCAGCCTCCTCTATGGGCAGCTGAACCAGGACTGAAGGTTTGGGATTAGAGGTGGGAGGCGGGAGCCCAGGGACTCACCGACATTCTTCCTGTGCCGGGCTCTGGCCACCCCCACAGCCACGGCTCCCAGTGCCAGCACCAGGCCCAGGGGCACCAGGGTGGAGACCAGCACTGTAGAGCTTCCGCCTTGCCCCTCAGAGCTAGAAGAAGGATAAGTCGGTTAATCACTAGAAGGGAGACCTGAAGGCCCCAGGACATGATGGCAGGTTGGCTTGGCTAGTTTTTCCTCCCAGGTTTATCCACTCCATTCTCCTGGTCCAGTTCCCTAGCTCTCTGTTCTAAGAAGCCATCCCAAACATGGCACATGTTCTGGGACTTCTCTGCATCTCAGGTCTGGGAGATTGAACTGAATTAGATAGCACCTAGCCATGGGAGAAGGGTAGAGGGTACCATGGAACCCTCCTACACACAGGCAGAGGCAGTAAGGGCTGCCCTCACTATTCAAGAGGCAGGCGGGCTGGTCTCCTTGGGCCCGGTGACCCAGCCTCAGGTCCTCAATGTCTGGAGTGTTCTGCTAGTGGGGAGTCCTGGATTCTTCCTCACCTGCTGGTATCCACAGATGCTCTGCTACCACCAGCTTGGTCTCCTACATCCTCCACCGCTTTTTCCTCTGCAAAAAGTCTGGGATCCTGGATGACTTTGTTCTCAATCTCCTTGGCACCTGACTCTACCAACTTCTCTTCAGGAAGAACATTTGCATTCGCTGGGCTGACATCGTGAAATCCTGGAGCAGGGAAGAGTCAGGGCTGAGTTATGGTTTTTGCTCCATGTTCTTACTCTGTGAGGTTAAGGAGTCTGAACAGTGAGACTTTATCAGGAATCACAGTGTCAGGATTAGGTCTTAAGGCTACTGAGGTGGGACCCAGCCTGACACAAGACACAGAGCAGTGAGGGCCTTCTCTAGCATGTCACAGACTATCTCTAGTTCATCACTATCAACTTTATTTCCACCTTCAATGTTCCATATAATAGATCCAGCTGTGCCGGGCTCGGTGGCTCAGCCTGTAATCCCGCGCCTTTGGGAGGCTGAGGTGAGTGGATTGCAGCGAGACCTCATCTCTACAATAAATCAAAAAATCAGCCGGGCATGGTAGCGCATGCCTGTAATTCTGGCTACTTGGAAGGCTGAGGCGGAAGGATCGCCGGAGCCCAGCAGGTCAAGGTTGCGGTGGCCAGGAGCGGCCACTGCACTCCAGTCTGGGCGACAGAGTGAGACTCCAACTCAAAAAAAAAACCCCAAATAGATCCAGCTGTGCATAAGGGCTGACCCAACACTTAGGGCTAGGTAGATTTTTCCCAGAGTTAAAACCCTGTCCTAGGTGTTCCAAACTGCAGAGCTGGGTGAACTAGAGCTGCCCCTTGGTGATAGCCTGGTGATGGGCCCTTCAATGAGCCCAATCAGCCAGGACACACTGGGATTTCTAGAAGAACTAAAATACCCTCATTAGGGATAAAACACTTCATGTAATGTTTAAAAAAGAGACTTGAAATGGAAACTTGCTTGAAGTTGCCTTAATTTTCTTGATCAGACCTTGTGAATGAAGGTACTTGGCCCTCTTCTGAGGACAGGCTTGGCAGAGGGAGGGAGGATGAATAAATATAGCATATGACAACAACTTCTATATCTAGAACACTTCTAGATATAGAAGGGACTTCAATTGGTTTGAAGGTGCAACCACAGGACTTGTAATAATGCTGAAGTTAAACAGCAAAACTACTATTTTTTCTTAGTTTGTATGTTTATTTGGGATGCCTTTTTGGGGGAGCTCAATGAGATTATGGGAGGCCTAAATCTCACCTCCTTCCTCCCCATTTTCAGGCTCTCCTAGAGGCCAACCCTGGTTGAGAAACTCTAAGGCAAGGGCCATTGAGAAGTCCTAGATCTGGGGTCCCATAGGGCATAAGCCCTGCCTTCAGAGACTCACCCTTTCCTTTCTCCTCAACGGCCACATAGATGGCGGCAGTCTCTCCATAGCGGTGGCCCTGCTTCACCCCACACCAGTACCAGCCCTCGTCTGCCTTGGAGACAGAGTCCAGGGTCAGGGAGATGACCCGGCTGTTTTGGTCGCAATTCACAAAGGCCTGGCTGGGGCCATCGTCTTGGCTGGGCAGGACCCGGCAGCCCTTGTTGCTCCACTTGCACCAGTATTTGTCGTAGGAGTAGAATTTGCATGGGAAGTGGCAAGGGATCTTGAACGTCTCTCCTAGCATAGCAGTGATATTCTCAGGTACCCGGAGGTTGGGTTCTCCTGGAGCAGAGAGGGGGGAAGAAAGAGGCACAGAAGTTGACACTTGGAGATACCATTGAGAAGGGACTGTGGTGGGGTGCTATCTTTGGATACCATTGTAAGTAAATACATTTTGCTGGACACATTAGAAATGTAATTATGTGCTTATGTAACCACTAATATTGATAAGCACCATGATCAATCCAGAGTCTATCATAGATCACAGAGCCTTCCATATCAACTTCAGTTTGCTTTCCTTACTCTTCCTTCTCTTCTAGACTCCGTACAAAGAGTTGTCTTCAATACTAGACTTCAGCTGACACCTACATACTACACAAGAGGCCAGTGCTCTTCATAGAAGGAAGTGCTACATGTGGTGATTAAGAGAATGTGAAATGCTTGTTACAGGTATGAGAATGTGACCTCTGGACAGGTAGGCTCCCTCTGGAGGTCACTCCCATTAGTATAGATGTAGGTGAGAGGGGAGGATGGTGTCTGGGAATGCCTCTGCTGGCCAGAGAGGTCTTAGGGCTTTCTCCCTTCTTTCTTACCCCAGTTCAGCTCTTACCTTCAATAAGCTTGAGCTCCACAGTAGACCTCCAGCGGATATCACCATTGGTCTCACACCAGTAGAAGCCAGCATCCTGGGGAGTGAGCTGGTTGAGTATAACCGTGTAGGTGCCATTGCCTGGCTCTTCAAGCAGTGCGATCCTGCCCTCGTACTGTTCCTGAACCAGTCCTTGGCTCTCCACCAGCCGTGGGCAGCGGCCATTTTGAGCCCCTTCCCAGCGACACCAATACTTGAGGCTGCTGCTTTCCTTAGGGCTGTAGGGACAGAACACAGCCACAGAGCCTCCTGCCACGCCCTTCACCACAGAGGGACTGTGGGGAATCACGGTCTCTGGAAGCACAGACAGAGATGGGATGGAAAGATGGCAACACAGGAATAACCCTGCATGGCCTGAACAGCCTTTCTTCGGGGCCTCGGCCAGGGTGGGGAGTGAGGGTTTAGATGAATCACATCTTTCTCAGAAAATGAAAAGGACTTTCCTAATGTCACTGAAGCCACCAGGACCAGACTCCAGTGACCTTCACCACCAGTGTGGACATGGCATTGCTTTTATTCACCTTATTCTGAGCAGAGAATGAAAGGAGTTGAAGGAGAGGATATCAGCTCTTGCCCTTTGACTTTTTACAAAATCCCCCTCTAGATCAGCTTATCCTACAAAAATTGTCAAATGGATTGTTTCCAAATTAAGAAAATATATTCAGAATGGTATGATTTAAAACATAAACTTTGTGAGATAGATTTAACTGTTGAGGACCCAGAGGGGCATCTCAAAGAGAAGGGCAGTCATTCTCCAAGCAGCTAATGCTGAGGTCCAGAGAGAACCTGGATGACCAAAGATGCAGAGGAACATGGTGAGAACCCAGAGTCAGATACAGAAATGATGTGTGGGGAACATAAGCCCCTTAAAAAAAGTCACAAGGACAGATGCCATCACAAGTAGTGATGGTTTGCGACTCTGTGCAGAGTGCTCCAGGGTGAGAGGGAGCAGGGTTTTAGTGATTTCACCATATTGATGAATCACAAGAGTAGAGCTGAGTGGGCCAGTTTGTGCTGAATAACAAATAACCCCGAGGGATATGGGAGGTGAGAAATTGAGAGGCTGGGGCATTCCCAGGAATGTGTGAGACCAAAATAAGCCAACCCTTTCCCACTGGAATGTGAGGGATGAGGCACACATTTCTCCCAGGGGCTGGGGAGGGGATAGACAGTCCCTGTAGAGCCTGCCATGGCTGATACCCAGACAATCTGTAAGTCTTGCCTTAATTGGGAGCATTAACTCTCTCATTCCTGTTAAGCAAGGACAGCCACCAAAAGGCCTTTGATAACAGAGAAGGGTAAATAAAAACTACCACGAGGAAAGTCTTCTCTTTCTTGCTCTCCTGTACAGCTGCCCACATGGCATCCAGTTCATGGCTTGCCAGTGAGTGGACATTGTCACCTGACTATGACTATTGATGCACAGACTCACAGGGAGCTGAGCTAGGCTTTCATCTGCCAGATTGTCCCACCCCTTCTTCTCCCCTTCTAGTATCTTACCCTCATTGACGAAGAGTTCCCAAGCTTGGACGGGCCAACCGTCCTTCAGTAGACCGTCTGGGTGGGCCCCACACAGGTAGCGCCCTGCATCCTCCTTCCTCAGGCCCGTGATCAGCACACTGAAGCGGCCATTCTCTTCCTTGGGAGTGAGGAGGATCCTGCCCTCAAAGGTCGGAGCCCTCTTCCCCAGGGTGTTGATGATCACATCACAGGTTTTCCCATTGCTCATTCGGCATAGAAATTTGGCATCATGTGCCAATTCAGGACCCAGGTCACAGTCAAAGTTCACTGAGCCCCTCAGGTCTCCATAGACCAGCTCAGGCACAGGCTTTAGCACTTGGAGGTCAACATTCATCTTATCACTAGTGGGACCATCACCAGCCTGGCAGGCATACATCCCAGCATCACTGAAATTGAGTCGGTTGAGGATGACACTGAACATTAATTGGCCAGTACCGTGAATAGCAAGGCGTATTCTGTCACGATAGTCGGGGTTCAAGTAACCTTTGGAGTCAATGATCAGCTTGCAATGCTTGCCTGCTTCCTTACAAAAGGACTTCTTCTTCTGAGCATTCTCATGCTTGAAATGGCAGTTGATGGTCACTGTTCTGCCCAGGTCTACTGTGTAGACTTGAATGTTATTTTGAAGCCCAGGATCTGCAGGAAAGGGGGTGAGGGATCAAGTTGTGATTCTACTTTCTTGCAACATAGAACTATTTGCTGTTCCCAGTGAGTGTCTGTGTGGGCCTATCACCTGGAATGCCCTCCTCCCCAGAGAGACACTGTCAGAATATGTCTTCCAAGTCCAGCTGAATGTTTTCTCCTCCGTGAAACTAATCTCTCCCTTCTCTCTCTTCTCTCCCTCTCCTTCTCCCTCTCCTCTCTCTCTTTAAGGTAGGGTCTCACTGTCTCCCAGGCTGGAGTGCAGTGGTGTGATCCTGGCTCACTGCAGTCTTGACTTCCCGGGATCAAGAGATCTGTCCATCTCAGCCTCCTGAGTAGCTGAGACCATAGGCATGTACCACCATGCCCAGCTAATTTTTGTATTTTTTGTAGATATGAGTTCTCACTATGTGGCTCAGGCTGGTCTTGAACTCCTGGGCTCAAGCAACCTTCCTGCCTCAGCTTCCCAGAATGCTGGGATTATAGGCATGAACACTCACTTTATATTGCATCACTTATTACGTTCAATCTAGTGTATAGTTAATTATGTACCCCCTGGACTGGAGGTTTCTTGAGGGTAGAGACATGTTTTTCTTCTGTTTGATTTCTCTGCTGTGACAAGCATAATGCCTATGTGTGGCAGGTGCCCAAATTTAACATGTATTCAAATGAACAGAGTGAATATAAGGGCAGGGCACTAGATTTCAAGCATTGCAATAGAAGTTTCTACAAATTACAACAGTCTAAACACGGGATGGGCTGTCTTGTGAAACTGAGTTTCTGCTATTTAAAGTTTAATCAGAGGCTGCATACCCATTGTCTACAATGTTCTAGACATTTAAATATGGTGAATTCTAAGCTTTCTTCAACTCAAGATTCTGTGGTTTTCTGAATCCCCACTTCCACTGAGGACTCATAAAATCTCCATTTAGTCCATAGACTAAATCCCTATTACCGCTAAATGAAAATTTTGTGAATCTCCATTTAATCCACAGACAATAGTATACATATCCAAAAAGCAATACATATCTTTAGGAGTCTCCCCAAATTTCCTCCTTTAAGACTTATTATCTTAAGTTTTCCTTGACTATCTCATTGTTAAACCCTGTTAGAAAGAGTTTTTCTTTTTCTTTCTTTCTTCAATTAGCCCGAGCTTGTTCAGTGACCCAACCCTTTAGTATCCTGGTCTTTGGTCAAGAACTAATTATCTAATTTATGCTGATGGACTAACAGATCCCAGATAAAAAAGAAAAAAAAAAAGTGAATTTTTAAAGAAGGCTTCTGGTGGTCAAAGCCTTAATCATTAATGGTAGGAGTTTAAAGATCCCTAATAATCTCCGACTGCCTTTTCTCTTCCTTAGGCTCACAGACCTCCCTTCCTACCTGTAACAAACACAACGAGATAAATTACTTTCCTCCTGATGCCCTTCTAAGCTAGGGCCTCAGTAAAAGGCTAAAATATTATAGGCCCCGAAGACCTAGAGAGGTTCACCCAACATACCCAAGCAGGCCCCATCTGTCTCATTCCCATTTCCTATTATGGAAAGTCTTTGCCTGGGGAGGGAGGAAACTTCCCACCCCTTGCCAGGATACCCTTCCCTGTCAGGAAGTTCTTACTCAAGCCTTTCTGTGCACCTGAGATGATTACCTCTAACTTTCCCCCAGAAGCCCAAGGATTCCAGATCCTTACCCTGGCTGACCTCCAGGCTGACATCAAAGGATAGGCCTCGGTTATTGATGCCCAGACCACACTTGTAGTGCCCAGAGTCATTCCGGGTTAGCTGGGCAATATTCATCACAAACGTGGCATTCTCCGGGAAGTTGGTAAGGTTGGCTCTGCCCGCATAGTCGTTGGAGATATAACCCCCAGAAGAGATGAGAGTTATGCAGCTGCCTCTTGCTCCCTGCCGGCACCAATACTTTCGGGTATGCCGGTTGACAGAGGTGGGTGGGTAGTAGCACGTGATGGACACCGACTTGCCTTCCACACTACTCACCTCCTGGGGACCGAATATGGGACTCTTCATGGAAACCACTGTGGGGACAGAAGACAGAGGCTTTCTGAGGCCCTTGGGCAGTAAAATTCAGACCACCCACACTGAGGAGATGAGATTTTCTACCTGCCACGTGGGCCCTCTGTGGATTATTCATCATATACTGTAGCTAGAAAGTTGTTAAGATTGGTTAAAATGATTGCTTTAATCACTACTATATTCTAATTATAATCTGTGAATCATAACCATTTTAATGACAATGAAATGACCAACTTATGATATCCCTTGTTTTATGACAAAAATAATGCCATTTTTGTAGGGTGTTACATATTTGTATTTGCTATCTATTATTTCTTCTTATTTCTAAAAACACTTTGTGGATGTTTTTCTTTCCCAAGTTAAAAATATTGAGGGCCAGGAAAGATAAGTGATCTTCCCCAAATTCCACAGCAAGACATAGAAATGCTTGTCTCACAGGCTGAGTGCAGTATCATGATCATAATTCACTGCAACCTCAGTCTCCTGGGCTCACGTGTTCCTTCTACCTCAGCATCCTTGAGCAGCTGGGACTACAGGCCCATGCCACAATGCCTGGCTAATTTTTTTAATGTTTTGTAGAGATGAGGTCTTGCTATGTTGCCCAAGCTGATCTCGAACTCCTAGACTTTAGTAATTCTTTCTCTTTGGCCTCCCAAAGTGCTGGGATTATAGTTGTGAGCTACCACACCTGGCTTTCAAGATCTTTTTATTCCCAGAGAAGATCCTTCACCTAGACCCCTGGCCTTGAACTTAGAAAACGCCATTCCTGTCTCTGATTCCCAGTGCTCACCAATCTGTTTTCAGATGTGGCCTTTCTGCCTCATCTCTGTGTGACTCCTCTTCAAGGGAGTACAAAATTTGATATGGATATCCCTGGGGAAGAGTCTGATTTCAGTGTCTCCAGGAAATTGGGCCCTGGAGGGGGGTAGAAGGGAGGGGTACAGCCCCAGGGTTGGGGGAGTTGGGACTTGGCAGACATACTTGGGAAGATAGTCGGCAGGCAGATGAACAAGAAGAGCTTCATTGCTGGTGGCTCCTGAGGGGGCTGTGCCACCCAAGCTGACTTCTTGTGTGAGATGCTGAAAGACAATAACCACAAGATGAGGCTCCTTTGTCGTCTAAGACTAGCTGACCCTAGAGTTTCTGTAATACCTATTTGGCTTGGTACCTTCAGCAACTGACATAAATCCTGCTGAACAATCAGTGGCTTCACCTTTTCCAAAACCACTCAACACCTCAGTATCCTGTAGTGCTTCGGTTTCCTCGATAGTTACAAGTAGCTTTTGTCTTTTCAACTAAGCTGCAAGTTCCTTTGGGATAGGGACGGTGCCATTTGTTCCACATCCCTGCACAGGAGGCACAGTCCTGGACACACCATAAGATCTCAGGAATGATAGAATGATTGGTTTCTACCAATATGTGGCCCCATCTTTGTTTCAGCTGCCCTTCTTGCACCCCTGAGAGGTGGACAGGGCTGACATATTTCGTAGTGTGTTCAGATGACAAAATGGAGACTTACAGAGGAGGTCTAATGATTAAGATAATGATAATGGTCATAACCCCACTAATTGCTCTATTACTGTCCCAGGTCATGTATTAAATAATTTACATGTGTTATCTCATTTAAACTTGATGTCAACCCTATGAGGTGGGTGTTCTATTCCACATCTTACAGTGAAGGAAATGAAAACTTAAATTGTACTTTCTTCTAGGTCACACAGGGGTTAAGCATGGGAGTCGGGGTGGGCTTTGTAGGACTCCAAAGTCAAAGTGCTTAACCTCTCCACTGTATTGTACAGAGCCTCAAATATAAGAGCATGCTTATACCTTATGCTTATTCCTGTTATTTGTAGAGCCTCTGCTGCTTATCAAAGCACTATCATTTACACTATTTCACTTGAACTTTATAACTTGCCTTGAAATAAGACAGACAGATACGATCACAACCATTTTGTGGATAAGAAAATAGAGATCTTGCGATCCCGGGTGATAAGCCCAATGTCTCCCAGTGACTCGGTTATGGAGTTGGGGTTAAAAACAAAGGTGTCAGAGTCTTTGTAATCCTGCCTGGTGAGGGCCAACAGACAAAAATGGAGAATCCAAGATAAGACCACTCAGAGGGCATAGCCCATGTGGACTTAATCACTGCCATGGGTACAATCCAGGGCTGGGGAGAGTTGAGAGTCCCAGGACTCTGCCTGACAGCAGATGTCATCAGGACCCAAACTACAGCCTGGAGAAGAGAGGAGGACAGAGGACGCCTCACTTTCCCCTCAGACTTTGACAGACTTTAAACCTTGGAATAGAGTTGACAGAGAGTGTTAAATGATCATAAACCTGGGCAATAATGAGCAGCCATAAAGATAGGGACGCTCTAAGCAAGAGGAAGCTGGGGCATTATCTCCCAGGCCTCCCTCACTGCCTTGGCCCCTGCTCCTGCTACCAGAGACTCCCTTCACCAGCTTGAGCCAAAGGCAATAGAGTTGTTTGTCTTGGTTCTTTCTTTTCCGCAAGGGAATTTCCCAGCAAGGATCCCTTTTATTTCCTTGTGGAGATAAAGGTATTTTGTTGCTCCAGTTCTTTGGAAGAGTAAGGGGCGGGGATGGAAATAGATATGGGTGTCAGATGGCAATGTGAAGGCTCTCTTGAGTTCAGATAATTGCCCTAGACCTTTCTCACCAAGCCAATGATTAACCCCTGGAGTAGGGCCTTAGCCAAACACCAGTCAGCCCCAACTTGGATGTGCTCCAGGGACACTGGCTGGAGTGTCACTGGAGTGGGCACTGTAGGCCACCATGGGAGAAGCTCCCAGGTGGGAGCAGCTTTCAGAAGGCTGGGAAATATGCCTTCTTTGGAATAGTTAGGCCAAACTGGCCACAAAATCCCAGCGTATCTACCATTTGCCATTTATGCTGACCCTGGGTCACAGGTGGGAGGACAACATTCTACCCACTTTTAAGAGTCCAAACCAGCAGCAGTTATCCTTGGCTCTTGTCCCCGTCCTCATCTCTACATAAGCAAGCTTCCTAGTATTTCTGAGATGAGAGTCATCTTCCCACGGGCTGAGCTAGGGGATGTGGCCTCCCCTCTGTCTGGGTGACCTGCCCTGGATTACAAAGAGTCAGAATCTCAACTTCCATCCCAGACTTCTTGTTTACTTTCATGTTTGGGTGGCTGTGCATGTCCGTGAAAATGGGGTGTATGTGCAGACCCCCATTACCCTTTGGGCAGTCTCAAACCAGGGATGAGAGCATCAGGCATGCATAGCTAGAAGGCAAACTGGAGGGTTTGCCTCAGCAAGAAAGTACAGAGTCCAGGCCTAGGGGAGATGGTTGGCAGGAGAGGACACCCACACTCTCAGGAACTCATCTTTGCCCAAAACTAAACTTGAAACACAATTTCTCTAACTGCAACTGGAAGCAACTTGTACTTTGAGAATCATTCGAGGCCCCTTCCCCTCAAAACCAGAGACTTTTTTCTAAACCTGGAGGGTTCAAGTCTCTGGGAGGCCCCAGTTTTAGGGTGACTGGGATTAGATTTAAAGGATTTGGTTAAGGAAGAAAGAAAAGAGCATTGGGCGCCTACAATATGCCAGATTATTTGCTAGGTTCTTGTATGGCTTGATCCATCAGCACAGCAACCCAAGAGGTAGATATTATTGTCTCCATGCTGCAGGTGGGAAATCTAAGCACTGGAGAGATTCTTGACCCCAAGACCCACAGCAGAACTGGAATTTGATCACTACCCTTTTATCATTCCTTAAATGAGAAAAGAGATCTATTTTATTGGGAGACAGACGATAGATAGATGGATAGATAGACAGATAGATAAGTATATCATGCATGTGGGCATAATGGCACCTTTTCTAGTTCTTTAAACTAGGAGTATTGTTTTCTCACGGGGGAGGCGATGTTCTAGATCATTCTCAGTTTACTAAGTTAGTATCCCAATATTTGTATAATATTATGTTCCCACAGTTGTGGATTGGGCTATGGGTGTAGGCTATGGTAGATAATAGAGCTTTCTCCCTATAAAATTAATTTAACTATTTCCTATTCAGTTAAAGTGACTGCTCTTCAGCTGTCATGGTGTGGAGTCCAGACCTTTGTCCATCTAATCTCAGGCTTCCTCCTTTTTCAGAGGAAGAAGGATCTACTGGACATGAGGGGAGAATAGAAATCGCTTCCTGGGCATCCTCTGAAGCCTGGGAGTGAGCTATTCAGGTTGGACAAATATGACAGAGAAGACAAGCATTATGGACTGAATTAGAAGAACACACTCTGAGTTCTTTCCAAGAGCATTAAATGTGTTAACTTGTTTAATCCTCACAGTCACACTAGGGGATAGGATAAAATGGACAGCCCCATCTCACGGGTAAGATAAGTAAAGCACAGAGAGGTAAGAAATTTACCCAATGTTACACAGCTGGTAATGGCCTGAGATAGGATACTGGATCAAGAGCATAAGCTCTTAGCTACTGTGCTGAGTTGAGAGGAAGCAGTAGGGAGAGAAAGGAGCAGGATATTCAATCTTAGAGAAGAGAGTTAGTTCAGTCTGCTCCTTCCCATTTTTCACAGAAAGAGACACCTATACCTAGGAGTAGGTGCCAGCAAGAAATTTCTTCCTGAAAAATATTAGCTGCTATTTATTTAACACCTACCAAAGATATGTTACATTCATACCCTATAACCAGGCACATTGATGCCAAAGCTGCTTTCTACTCCATCACACTGTATCAATGCCAGTGACTTTGGGACTCCAGCTCCATTCCACCCAGAGAGAGTGAGATATTTATAGATGGGGGTCTCTGCTGAGCATAATGCCTGAGTAATACTTTTTAAAAGAAGTTGGGTAGTTTGCTTTTTAGATGATGTCAAAATGGCCTCATGACCATATCAAAATGGCTGCCAAAATGTCATCCTTCATACTTACTGGGTGACTTACCACTCATGTAAACTCGTGAAGTCTTGATTTCCTCAACTATTACATGGTATTACCATACCTACCCTGCCTACCTTCCAGGTTTGTATTAGGTGGAAAAGAGATGAAGCTATGAAAGCCATGAGCAAGTGGATTTACTAAATGCAAGCCTGTGTCATTCCACTTTTTATCAACTAAAACTACAGAGGCCTAGAGGTGTTAAGAGACAAGCAGCATGAGTTGCTCTCCTAACTCAGTTCAGTGTTCTTTCTGCTACATCACCACATGCAGGCCCAGAGAGAAGGATGGATGGAGAATTCCAGATTTGGCTCTGAGCAGACCTACTTCCAGCCACCAGATAGCTGCCTTCTCCTCCAACCCCTGAAATGGTCCCCTTTCCAGGTGTTAAGGAACCTATATTTCCCTAGCGGAGAGAGAATGATGGTGAAGAATGTCTACAAAATGGGAGAGGCTTGGGTGCCCCCAGCCACTTTGGCAGTTGCACAAAGAAAACTAGAGACCAGGGATGGAGCTTGACCAGATGCTGCCCTTGTGCCAGAAGGTCCCACAGTTGGCTTGGGATGTGTCAGGATGGACAAGGGGAGGGGAGGCCTATGGCTGAGGTTTCCTGGCTGTAGTGCCAGAAGGAATATCAGGACTGGTGGATGCTGCCTGTATCTGGGAGTAGCACTGCCCCACCTTACTCAGTGACTCTGAGTAAGAGGACCTTATTTTTCCTAACTGTAGCAAAGGCAGGATGATATAAGACACACACTTATGCCTCAGGTGGCTAGAATCTACTGGAGTAAGCCTAAGTCGAGTTGGAAAGGATTTCAGTGCCTCATGGAAGCCCAGAAAAAAAAGCAACTGGATGTACCTTCCCCAGAAAGCTGGAGGTGGAAAACCTCAATGACTGGAAGAAGACTTGCTAGGTTGGCACTTCATGGGCAGCGTCTGAATCCAGGTTTGCCTGGTGCTCCATAAGTCCTTGAGTAATTGAACTAAATTGACAATTGCCAAATGATTTCTATTTTACTCTGGAGCTTACAAAACTATTTCACATACATTTTCTAATTTGAACCCTCATTGACCCTGAGTGATAGGTGTTATTTATATCTTCCTTTTACAGATTAAGAAAGTGAGGCACAGCCGGGCTTGATGGCTCAGCCTGTAATCCCACGTTTTGGGAGGCTGAGGTGAGTGAATTGCCTGAGCCCGAGGGTTCGAGACCCATCTGGGCAACTTGGTGAGATCTCATCTCCGCAAAAAATCAAAAAAATTAGCGGGGCGTGGTAGCGCACACCTGTAGTTCCAGCTACCTGGAAGGCGGAGGTGGAAGGATCGCCAGAACCCAGCAGGTCGAGGCTGTGGTGTCTGAGAGCGGCCACTGCACTCCAGTCTGGGTGACAGAGTGAGACTCCAACTCAAAAAAAAAAAAAAAGAAAGTGAGTCTCAGAGAGATTCAGTGGCTTGCCTAGGACCACACAGTTAATAAACTATGGCGGAGTTAGGGAATTTAGAGGCCAAGCTTAAAGAGAAGAGCTACATATGCTGATCACAGATGTACCATCTCAGCTGCTGATATTTCACAGAAAGGGGTGGGGGCTTCCACACACGTGTCCCACTGGGATGTGCACCAGTACTCTTCCACCATACACTGTCACACAGTCTGTCCCCCGGTCCTCTCACCCCACTCCCCATGACACTGGGAGTTGTGGGTGTAGGATTTGCCTGCGCCACCCTCCAGGGCCCTTTCCAGATAGCATCCCAGAATCCCTGAACTGTAACACTTACTTTTAGTCACTTCCTTCTCTCCTGTTTATCCAGTTTCAGGGGCACAGCCTGCCGACCAGTCCGTAACCCCTGCCTCTCTAGAAGTAGCCAGCCGGGCACTGTATGCTGCTGCCAAAACTGAAACTTGCGCTCAGGGCTTGACCCACACCTGGGCTCTTAAAGGGCCACTCTCCCACAGGCTCTGTGGCCAGCCAGGGACACGTGACTCTCACAGATCCCGTGCTTTCCTTTCATTTTGGCTTCCCTGGCTGGCTCCATTTTCTTTCCCTTGACCTTAGGGAGACTCTATTACTTGGGAATCCTCCATCATTTCAGCTGCAGGATGTGGGACAGAGTGTCAAGCGTGAAGATCTTGTTCTGCCACTTTCTAACTGCAAGGCCTTAGGCAAGTCACCTTCATTTTGTTTTCATCTGGTAAAGGGGGAAAGTAATACCAAATCTACAGGTAGAAAATGTAGTCAGATATTAGACGTTGAAAAAATGTCCCAGTGCTTGAAATAAAGTTGACATTCATTCGATTGGACACAGGTGGCAGGAATGGCTCTCTAAGTCCTTGGTCTCACATCCCCAGTCACTCGGGAGACCCCTCCGATTCCCTAGGTTACTTAGCCTGGACGAAGTCCACCATTTACATATCTTCTACAAAGGCCCTTTTACCAGCCCAGAGCTTCTAGAAACTGGCAGGCAGAGCTCCAGGAACTTGAGGGGCCATGGCTTTTCCCTTTTCACTCACTGGAGTAATTGAAGACTCTGGCTGTTTCTGGAATCCCCTGAAAATGACTGACCCCAGAGTCTTGGTAGGATCTGGGCTTGGAGAGAGAGAGAGAGCAGCGAGGAGAGAGCAGACCTGCTGAGCTGGAGTTCAGCCTCCTTCCTTACCTCATTAGTCCTTGGGGGTTTCCCAGGACTTGACCTGGTTGAAACTCTCAGATGCTCCCAAGTGATCATGATAGTCCTGTGTCACACAAGTGAAGCCCACTCCCCAACACACACACGTAAACCCCCCATCCCTAACCCACAAAAACCCTGCCCCTTCCTACTTGTGCAGGGCTGACCCAGGCTCTTCCTACAGTGTCCTGTAGGCCAGACCTCAGAAGCAGAAGGAGAAAAGGATAAATAGAATTAGCTTATTTTAGCTAACCACTCACTTGTGGGTGTTGAACCAAAACCACAGGTTTGGATGGCAAGAAAAGAGACCATCTTTTCTATTATGTAGCTTAATTTCAGACCCTAAACCAATAATCTGACTGATAAAAGAAAAAAATATTACCTAATCATTTCCAGAAAACTTGGTCCAATTCAGTGATATTTCATTCATTTCACTCCCGATTAAAAGTTCAGTGTCATTCTTGATTTTCCTTCCTTTTTGTCTTCCTTCTCTCCTCTGGGGTTTTGTTAAGACTGGGGCGAGTGGTCATGAGTGAGGGGTGGACAACTGTGAGACAGTGAGAAGGGGTGGCACATTATT